TAACAGGCCGCAGGGACCGTGGTTTGCCGAAGTCTGGCATTGCATATGCATATAAACGTTGGATCTCAGAAGAGTGGGAGTAGCCGTGCATGAAGCCTGGGCCAACACCCTTCTGAGACCCTTCAGCCACCCCACCCACACACACACACACTGAGCTGACCGCGAGATCCCGTCCCGTCAGTTTTCATCCTTCCAGGTCAGCAGTGTAGATTCAATAGAATAATCATACGAAACGTTTTCAGCGCAAAATTTGATCCCCACTGTTCAAACAAATTAACTTTTTGCTCATATTTACAGATAAAGATGATGTCTCTTTATTTCATTTCATCCTTGATCCCTAAGGTCTGTGTCCTTATCCGCAAGTTTGCAAAACAGTTTAAATATATTACTCTCTAACCAATGTACTACTGGCAAGCGTTAGGACCGCGAGATATGCGTATTTCTGGCAGCAGTTTCTGCGGCTATACTGGAGTCAGGTGTCCGCGACTGACAAAGGGAAATGACCCAGAAATACGCGCATCTCGCGGTCCTTACGTCTGCCAGTAATACATTGGTTACTTAAAGTTAGCGAGTAACATAATTGTTTCGCTCTTGAGAATAAAGCTGAGGTTCTCAGCGACTCGCCAGACGAAACAACCAGGGTTAGTGAATCCTGGACCAGATCGGAGTAGAGCTATGTACTAATATTACTGTCTACTTTATAGTAACAAAATTATTTTTAATTGAACAATGTTCCGTTTTAATAGGATTTTCAACGGCAATACCTATTACTGTTAAATATAATGAACTAGATGTGTACGGCAAATTACCCCCATGAGTGAGCACGGTCACACTTGGTCGCATACCCGTTAAAAGAATCAGGACCCTATTTAAAATCGTAACAATTGGCCTCCCAACAGATTCTGTCGTTTAAAAACGAGAAAAAAAGTCTCAGTGGCCCGCAATATTTAAATCAGTGTCTTAAGGTAGCTCTACGTTTCACTATTTCCTCAAAGTCAATAATCTAATCAAACTTATTTTTACTATGAAAATCAGAAATTTTTGCACGCGGTGCAGCTATTCTTACATGTATGATTCGAGAACTGGCGCAATCGGTGTATGGAGCCCAAATGACAACGAAAAGGTCTCGCCACATTGTAGAATCCCTATGATTTGAGATCCTTTTAGAGGCAACCGATTTACCCGATGTAGTGTCCAGCCGCTTGCTTGCATGTAGTTCCGCTGCTTGATCCATGATCGGACCCAGGAGCCTGATTATCTCACAACTATCCCTCACTGAAGGTGGTTTCCCTGTCGTTCGTCGCTTGTGAATGCGTCGGATAGTATTGAATTCGGCAATCTGGATCACCACGGGGACCCAAACCCCAGAATTCTGTAAAACGTGGCCGATAGTAGTGCTGATTTACTGTTAAAACTTATCTTTCAATTATCGCACGTTTTGTCGTTTTTATGTATTCTTTTTTTGGCAGGACTGACTCTAGAGGTATTTCTACCTTTGACTTATAACAATAGCCTACGTTTACATTTTCGGTAGCCCGACTTTCCCTTTTTCCGTTAAATTCCACCAATAGGAATCGAATTTCCATTTTCGTTAAATTCCGCCAACATAAGGTCGAATTTCTTTCAGTTGGTTTCCCTGACCTGCGCAACAGTTTATGTCGATGGAATTTTATTCTATTTAGTATATTGAATCAAACATAATCAT